GACCCCCCACGTCCCCAGACTTGGGACTGAGTGTGAAGTTGCCGATACTCCTATGGGCGATGTCACTCGGCAGCGGTGTTTAGAGTTTTAGCAAGTGACTTGGTCGGTAAATGTCTGTGAGGACGTGCCGGGCGGTCAGCACTGGGACTCAGCTCTGCCACGGTCATGGTGGCCGTCCAGAGCGGGACCTTCACTGTGAACTGCCCGTGGCTTCCACATCAGCCTTGCTTGTTAAACTCTGGCTGAAGAAAACAGCATTTTATTTAAAAATGTAGTTTTGTTTATGGTATAATACCAGAATTCCAGAAGTGTGTAAAATGTGTATTTCAGAATTTTAGGAAATAATGACTTGTAGTTTTCACCTGTAAGTAATGTATAGCCATAGCTACATGGTAATCCCTCACAGACCCTTCCAGGGAGTAATTATACCAGGCACTGTCACATTCTGTCCTTGCTTTTAAGGAGCTTACTGACCATTAGGAAGGTGAGAGAGAGTGTAGAAATCTCTCATAAGATGATAAAAGTGGTAAATAGAAATAGACAGCGGTCAGTGACAGGAAGCTAGTGGACGGGGACTCAGAGGAGGAAAAGATTCCCTTCTGGGGAGCGGTCGGGCTGTTTAGCTCCTACGGAGAAACAGCTGGCGCTGCCCTCATGTGGGCTGGCCCATCCCAAGGGGTGTTCTAGGCGACGTGGGCGCCTCCGGAACTGTGTTCACAGGTACGGAAACGAGAATGGGCAGCCTGTGTGGCAGACTGGCCAGAGCAACTTCAGTGAGGAATCGGGGCTGGGGCTGGGGACACAGTGAGAACACTCGGATCCCAGGGGCTTGTTGAGCATTTTCACTTCAGCAGTGAGAAGCCATTGAAGATTCTGAACAAGTCCTCACACCCTGAGTAGGGAGAGTGGGAGGGGGAAGGTGTGACCGGGGGCTGTGCAGGCCCCCTGGACTGTCGGGGTTGGCACGTGCCCCGCTCTCTTACTTACTGTATGAGTAGCTGGATATATACACATCCCCCCCGTCTCCCAACCTCCTCTAGGCCTGTGAAAGAGGAAGGGAAAGTCTGATGGTAAAATTAAGTCCCTTGTTAGCCTGAGGCGTGGATGTTGGGGACACCATGTGCCCCATTACTTTACCTGCAGTGACTGCTCCCCATTATATGATAAGCGGAATCATGCCCACCCACCCCCATCGCCAGCGTACAGTTCAGGGGCTGCAACACTTTTTTGTTTGAAGCCAAACCTTTGTCAATGGAAATTGATTTTTTTTTTTTAAGATTTTATTGGGGAATTGCGGGGAGAGAAACAGACAAGTTGCTGTCCTTTTGTTCTTCAGTCTAGTTGTGGAGGACGTCGCTTCACTGGCCCATGTTGGCATTTTCATTGTGCTCTTCCAGATCGATCACCGGCCTCTGGACGGCCACTCACGGCAGCTCTTAGCTCACGCTGGCTGCCGGCCACTCACAGTATCTTATGGATACTTCACTGCAACCTACGCCGTCGCCAGCGACTCACGGCAGCCCAGCTCCAGGTCGAGCTGTTGTTCACCATCTTAGCTGTAGAGGGCGCAGCATCACTGGCCCTCATGTGGGATCCGAACCTGGGCCCTGCTGCTCAGAGCTGGAATCCCAAGCCAGCTCTTAACCAACGCACCACTCTGCCGGCCTGGAAATTGATCTTTATTGGGCTACTACATTAAAACTTTTTTTTGAAATGCAATTTATGAGGATGGGTAAGAATTAGCAATCTGAAAAACAGAAGACAAATTTAATTTGTAAGCAGGCAGGAAAATATGCATTTCAGGTCTTTGTCCATCTGTTCAGCTCCCGGCTGAGACTTTCCACATTATCCTAATCACAAACTGAGAATCCGGGCTTGAAACACGTACTCCCTCAGCTGAGAGGCAGCTCGAGAGGTTTGGATTAAGTACAGATATTTAGAATTTGGGGGCTGTTTTGATGGTTTTGAGAAACAGCCAGGCATACAGGACTTAAAATTCCATACTTTTAAGTTATCTGGACAAGCCTTCTCTCTAGATTACACATCGGAGGGATGTTAAAATGAAAGGGTGGTGAGTTTATGACAGTCTTTTCGGAAAAGCAGTGAGTTTTTTGAGGAGGCAGAGGCCTGGGGAGTTGCTTAACATAAGCTGGTGAACTTGCGACATGAGCCTTGAGGCATCTGAGAGCCGTTGTTACCAGCACGTGAGGCGTCACTTAGGAGCAGTCTCGTTCCCAGTACAGGAAGAAGACAGAACGTGAGAAAGCAAGGAAGGAACAGACTTTTGTGAGAGCTTCCAGGTGCTTCCATTCGCTTCGCCTCATGGCTTCCTCCAGTCGTTCCGTGGTGACTTTCACATTCATATCCTTACACGTCAGGAAGCGAGGGCTCCCAACGGGAAGGTGAAGAACTCGCCCAGTGAGCTTGGCCGGTCCAGACGGTCCGGTCGCCGGAGCTGAGTCTTGTCCAGAGCTGCCCGCCTCACCCCGTGGCCACTTGGTAATAACAAAATGTGTGTAATAGTGTTCCTTCCCTGTGTGACTTCAAGAAACTGCGAGGCAGGATGCGGAATAAACAGGCTAGAAACCACTGGGCCTCAAACACGTGTTTCCTGTATTAGTTGGTGATTTGTAATGATTTTACATTTTTATATTGCAGTTTCTGTCTGGAAATTTTTTATGTTTTATTTTTTTAAGATTTTATTGGGGAATTGAGGGAGGGGAACAGACAAGTTGCTGTCCTTTTGTTCTTCAGTCTAGTTGTGGAGGACGTCGCTTCACTGGCCCATGTTGGTATTATCATTACGCTCTTCCCGGGTGAGGCAGATTGGTCACCGGCTTCTGGACGGCCACTCACAGCGGCTCTTGGCAGCTCACGCTGGTTGCTGGCCACTCACGCAAGCTGCCGGCCACACACGGTAGCTTATGGCAACCCACTGCAGCAGGGGCTGCAGCTTATGCTGTCGCCGGTGGAATCACAGCAGCCCAGCTCCAGGTCGAGCTGTTGTTCACCATCTTAGCTGCAGAGGGCGCAGCATCACTCCCTCATGTGGGATCCGAACTGGGGCCCTGCTGCTCAGAGCTGGCGCCCCAAGCCAGCTCTTAACCAACGCGCCACTTGACCGGCCCTAGAAAATTTCTAAATGATGGGCTGGTCTGATTTCATCAGGAGTAAAACCCCTTGTCCAGCCGGGAAGCTCTGAGAGGCCATCCCCTGCTGTCCGGGCCCTGCCGTCACTGCCCACTCCCCGCTCCCCCAGGCCTGCCCATGTTCTCTGCCTCCTCCAGGCTAAGGGGGTGCAGCTGCTCACTGACAGGCCAGAGAGGATCATGAGCTCACGGCGAGGAGTAGGGGGTGCCACTGTCCCCAGGAGACCATGAGGCATAGTGCTTAATCGATACAGCCTCTTGTAGTTGATCTTTACTTACATAATTCTCCTTAGCACCTCTTCCTACTAGACTCTAGCTCCCCAAAGGACGCGTCTGGGGGTGTCCTAATTATGCTCTGTTTCCAGGGCTCAGAGGGCCTGCCACACACACGCACTACACGCTGTCAGTGGCTGGCACGCTCTCTGCCCCTACACACCTGTGCCATAGCAAATTCAACCACCATGTGCAAATACACAGGTCATGGCGTGTGGGCAGAGAGCCTGCGAGGAAGATCTGAGGGGGTCTGTGTTTCTTTTGGCTCAGGAGACTCGGACAGTTCTCAGCAGGTCAGCCCAACAGGCCTTTGTGCGCCCTCTCGGGGTTCATTTCATTTGTCGTTATCCCATAACTTGTATGGTTTCTGTGCTTCATTAGCTCCTAACACTTACATTATAGTTCCTGCAATTAAAGTGTTATTTAGATTGTGAATCTGAAAAACATTTCATCAGTGAAGTAAATGATGATTTTAGAAAAAAAGCTTTAAAAGAAAGAAAACACCTATTTGGTATCCCCACCCCCACACACACACCCCTGTACTCCAGCAGCTAAAATTCAAAATTCAAAATGTCCTTTGGCTCTTTGGCGTTTTGTAACTGAACTTGACCTGAGAGCCTCAAGCGTGCATTGTCCCTCTCAGTCTTAGAAATTGGCTGGAATGATTTAGTGACATTTCATGAGCTCCTGAAATGTGCTTGGTTCTGTGTCAGATACTGCAGGCTAGAGATGAGGTCGAGTGGCCTTTTAAGAATCTCAGTCTCCCAGGAGACAGAAACAGTGACGAGCCAGCCTGGTGACGGGCAATGGGGATCACCCCGGGTGAGGGGACACTGGAGGAGGAGTAGAGCCTTGGTGCCGCCAGTAGCTCGGCTGCAGTCACACAGTCCCCAGGCCTCGCGTTGCTCCCATGGCATGTCGGTCTTAAGCGGTTGGAGGAAACAGCATTGAAGTAAGAGAAAGGAACCCGGCTTTTCGCTCTCTGATATCAGCTTCCTCCTGGAAGGTTCCGTGTGACATCCCCTCACGTTATTGGTAACATAGCCAATCACATAACACGGCCATGGCCAGCCCCACAGCGGGTAAGGAAGGGCCGTCCGCCATGTTTCCAGAAGGAAGAGAGCCTGAACTGCCTCTCGCCCCTCTCCTCTGTATGCGAGTTATTATACTTGGTAGGAAACTGAGAACACTGGCTGTGCAAAAATAGAATATTGATCACCTGTCATCTCTCCACCCCCAAATGGTCACCATTAACAGACGCTGTACAGTCATACATGCAGGTGGGCTCACACCTTGGTAACGGGGTTCCACATTATATGATGAACATGCTGTCATGTCCGTCACATGGAATCACGTGTTACTAACAAGTTGCAGTCCATTGTATGGTGTGTTGTGGTTTCAAACCAATCGCTCATCATTGGTCACTGGTTGACCAGCTTTTTGATATTATGAGCAAGACTGCCTGTAAAGGGCCAAATATTTTCGGCTTTGTGGATTGTATGTGCTCTCTGTCACATCCTTATTTTAAAAAACAACCTTTTAGAAATGTAAAACCATGCTTAGATCACAGACCAGGCAAACTCAGGCCAGGCCTGCGGGGCTACCGTGGCTGAGCCTGTGATAGGCGGGGCTGTGAGCCGCATCCCCGACCGAGGCGCGTGTGCCTGCCTCTGTCCTGGGGGGCGGTTCTTAGCGGGGGAATTACACGTGTGGAGTCAGTGATGCTGATTCGAAGGCTTTTCATCCATACTGTCGGGTTACCCTCCAGAGAGGTTATGCCACTCGGCGACCTCACCATAAGTGCTGGGAATTCTCTTTTTTCCTGAACCCTCTCCAAAACGGGGTGTTTTCATGGTTTTTTCTTTTGCCATTTTGGGAGGAAATAAATGGCATCTAATTGTCATTTGCACTTTTATTCTTAAGTAGGATGTTAAATATGTTCCCTACGTATTAGCTGTTGGTGTTTTTTTTATGATATGTTGTGTGCTTAGCCCTTTTTTCTGTTGGCGTTTTGTTTTTCTGTTTACAACAATTCTTACATAGAAATTACGTGAAACTTTTCTTTTAATTTTCTCAGCTGTGCTATAAATCCGTTCCTGTTTTCATTTGTCTCTTATTGCTGCTGTTCTGTAAGAGTTTGTGCTTCACCACTGCAGTCATCCTACTTTTCCTTCACAAGTTTTTTATGTTGTGAAATGGTGAAAACAGGCCTTCAGACTCCAGTAGCTCACCCCCATTTCTTCCCAGGACTCGTGGTTCTGCACCGTTTATGTTTATTGCTCTAAAAAATACCTCACCATATTTTTCAAACGGTCAGCGGTTGTCCACTGAAGAACCCCTTTTCCCCACTGATTTCAGCACAGTGTTTGTCATTTACCACAGTCTTTACTGTGTGACAGGGCAGATGGCAGTGCCAGCCCTCAAGGTACAAGGTGGAGCTGGGAATCTCCTGTTTGTCTTACTTTGGGGGTGGGGTCCCAGGGGTCTCCAAAAACATTTCAGTTTGGAAAGTGTGTCAGGATCCGGGTCCACGGTTCTCATGCAGAGGTTTGCTCTCTGTTTTGGGGATCGCAGTTAAGGGGGCCATTGACAAGGGAGGCGTCTGTGTCAGCCTCTAACTACGGAAGGCGTGAAGGGCCAGGAGGCGAGGGCGCAAAGGCCGTCAGACACTGGGAGATGGGAGTGCCCGGCCGGTGACCTGCGTCGGGGACTCCACAGAAAGGAGGGAAATGGAGTCCCGGGGCCCTTCAGATGCCGAGTCGGTGCTTCGTGCCCACTGTCGCGGGGGTAACTACTCAGTTACCCAGAGATTTATACGGCCTGACCTACCTTCCCTCTTTGGCCTGAAGGCCTCGCCGGAAATGAAGATGTCCTAGCATTCTTTCTGTCAAGGACATTCCCATTCGTAGAAAAGCAAATTAGAGCATATTAAATTAACTTCAACTCACTCTGAACCTAACTGTCATCCTCGGACACCTGCATTTGCATAGTCGGATGAAATCATTTTATGGAGCCTCTCAGTGTCATGGTGTTTTGAAATCAGCAAGAAAATTTATGAGAGTGCTGAAAAAGTTTTTGTTTTATACAAATAAAAGATGAAGTTATTGGGATACTAGAGAAAGTACAGGTGAATATTTGGATGGTGAAGATAACAATTTGATTACAAAGGTTTTTTTTCTAAAGCCGCTACACCTCACAATAACATCACAAGTACAAATTAGTGCCAATAATAAACTGGGAACATGTTGCCCTTCTGTGACAAAAGGTTGTCACTTTAATAGCTCTGAGATGATATGTCTGGTGAGATTCTGTGAGACACTTAAGCGGGTCACACCAAGGAGACCCGCCGTGGAAGGAGGACTGGGAAGGGCCCCCTCCTGCAGGTTGGGGCAGGCGGGCGGCCTTCCTGGAGGAGCGGGCCCTTGTGCTGTGTCCGCAGCCAGTGCCCTGGCCTCCTCCCAGGGGTGTTTCCTGCAGATGTGAGCGGAGGCCAGGCATTCACTTAGCAGATGGCAGTAAAAACGGGAAGCAACCCAATCAATGCCCAGTAACAGGGAGCTGGCTTGTTAAGTGCAGCTCTTTCTACCGGGAAATGCAAGAGCTGGAAGCCGTCTGACATGGTGACAAACATAAATGTGGAAAAATAAGAAAAATGAATGTGCCTGCACATGTGTGTGTGGATGGGGTGAGGGGGGTAGAAAAGAGGCTCAAAAAAATGTACTTTAGCGTGATAGAGATTATTTCTGGGTGGGGTTATTTTATACATATAAATATACCTTTCCTTTTGTTTTTGTGGTCTTTTTTTCTTAAATGAATACGGATTGCTTTTATAATAGTGATCTTAAAAGAAGAGCTTTATGCAGACGTGCCTGCTCATAAACGATGCTCATTGCTATCTACTCCTTCTCATCCTCTCTCCCTCCTTTAAATATCAAGTGGACTCAGACTTGCATCTAGGAAAGTAAATGCAGTAGCCTCTTCAGAAACGGGCCATTACTGCGGGGAGCAGTAACTTTGAGCAACGTAGCGCAGAGGCTCCGGGTTGGCCTTGGGGCCTGGAGGGTGCAGGGCCCCCTGGAGTGCAGTGTGGGGCTACTCCATGCCTGGCCCAGCCCCCAGCCCCGCCCGTCAGGCCTTGGGCTTGTAGAGGGTTCTGTTAGGGGCGCAGTGGGCTTTACCGGTGAGGCTGACAGGGTGAGGACTCCTGTGTGGGTGATGCGAGCCGGTATCCGAGGTTGAAGACACTTGGCGAGTCCATCTGAATGCCGAGGAAGCAGTGGACGGGGGACTAGATGCGGTGTGGTTAGGTCTTGGACCGGCGTGATCAGGCGAGCCTGTGATCTCCCTCTCTCTCTCTCTCTCTCTCTCTCTCTCTCTCTCTCTCTCTCTCTCTCTCTCTCTCTCTTTCTGCGTTGCAGCCCCCCAAAGTGAAATGCTTGACCAGGATCTGGCACCCCAACATCACAGAGACAGGCGAAATATGTCTGAGGTGAGTCCCTCTTCTTTCCTGCCCCCTGCATGTGTGGGTGCCAGGCTCTTCACCCTGTTTTCTCCTCGAGGAGATGAGGAGGGTTGGCACCCTGGGCCTTTGGGCTGCACTCTGGGGGCGCAGTGGTCCCGGCCTGCCAGCCTGGGCCACCAGACCTGCGGCCTCCGGCACCCAATGGTGGCCGTGGACGTGTGGTCAGTGCAGCCTGCGCCTGCCCAGGGTGCTCCCTCTGGGGGCCCTTCTGTTCTTTGAAAGGCAGGGTCCCCCAACGTGGCTGATGGAGCTGAGAGGGAAAGATATCCCTGATGAAGTCAGAGGGCGTCTTTGCCTAACAGTTCTCTGCTCTTAGTAAACACCCGTCACCTTTGAAAGGCAGGCAGTGTCCAAACTGACTGCTCCTGGCGTAGCTGCCTTTTTCTTCCGTACAAGTGCAGTCAGCACCCGTTCTCCCATTTCGTTCTGTATGTGGTGCCCCTGTTTCATACCAGCCTTGTTTTTTATAGACAGTTTAAAGTACATTTTAGAAGCGTGTACCTTTTAAAGGCATCTTCCCTTTAAGGATCTGCCTGGTAAGTATGGAAACTTTAAGACTCGTGAGCCTCAGCTTCAGGGCATAAATGGCCCTGGTCCACCTTCTCCCCTGGGCGTTTCACCTGTGCTCACGTCCCCTGCCTCCGGCAGAATTAGGTCCTGAGAGAGAATTCCTCCTGTTGCTTTTGCTGCCTTCTGAGAGATCAAATTACTAGCAAAGTACAACGGGAATTCAGCAGACGGTGGCTTGCTACAAAAGGCGAAGACCTTTGGGGGAAATCAGTGATAGGTTTAGCCACCTTATGATGATAAATACGAAAGAAAACAATATCAGATCAGCTGGGTTACTTCCTTCATGACGCCCTTACCTTCAGCATGAAGGAGTGCGCGGGCGCATTGAGCGTCGGTGCAGACAGGTGGCTCACACTAGGAGCGTGGTGGCAGGGGGCGGCGGGCGCGCTGCGTGCGCTGAGCAGAGCCCCCGCGGGACCTCCTCCAGCAATGCCAGACGGGGTTTGCGCCGGAAGGAAACCGGCTGACACATTTTTCAAAGTATGGAGTAATCATATGATTCTATAATGTGTATTTACAGTTGGTAGAACAGTAATGAAAATGACGCAGGTCCAGCTAAGAAATAGCCCCTCACAGCACCCCCGAAGCCTGTGTGACCTTCCCTGGACGTAGTCCCCCCACCCACAGGGGGGCGCCATCTAGAATTTTGTGTTAATCCGCTTTTATCCTGAAGTTTTGAACAGCTGTGGGACGGAGAGGTGACGCACCTCCCTCGCGGTGCTGAGGCATCACGTGAGTTTAGCATCCATCTGCCGCACAAACGGGAAGCTTTTAAGAGGCACTTGCTCCCATTGTCATTGCTGTCGCCCTCACTTTCCGATTGTTAAGTTGACGACGCTCTCCAGTGCTCTGTTCGAAGCGTGCTTTTGCCCGGCGTGCGGTCTCCATGGCCGGCTGCGATGGGAGGCCCACGTGCTGTAGTAGAAAGGACAGGCGCACGGACGCGAGCAGGTGCCCCGCCGCGCAGGCGGAGAGGCGTTCACACGGCGCAGGCCTCGCGCGGGCAGGCACCCTCGGCGGCGGCCTCGGCAGCCCTGTGCCCTGTGTGGCCAGAGGCTGCTCCCTGCTGACCGCTCTGCCTCTGTGTCTGTTGCAGTTTACTGAGAGAACATTCGATTGACGGCACTGGCTGGGCTCCCACGCGGACGTTAAAGGTAGGCTGCGATGCTGTTGACCACAGCCCTGCCCTGGTGACCAGCCACCTGTGGGGACTGCGATGTCCTGTCTGTCCTGTCCCCACCAGTGGCCAGGTGCACCCCGCTCCCTCCTCCCCCCCGCCAGGGACCGCTGAGCCAAGCGCTCGCCTGGTCAGGGCCGGGCTGGAGGACAGCATCAGGTCATTACTGTCCCCATAGCCCTTTACCATCTGTGCTTTGGGTCGTCGACAGCCTCTTCTTTTCTTGCTGGCCCCCCGCCTGTGAGAGTTGTCTCACCCCTAAAGCTGAGGGGAGCTGCCAGGAATGGGGAGACAGGGAGAAGGGGTAGGTGCGAGTCACACTGCACAGAGGAGGGGTGCCCTGAGGCTGGGGCCCTTTCCTGGGCAGGGAGTGGACAGGGGAGCCACCGGGGCATCTGCAGCAGAGGCCTGAGCTGGTTTCGGTCCCCAGCGCCCACCCGAGGTCCTCACTGCGGCTTCCTCTCAGGGCTTCCCTCATGGCCCCTGGAGGACACAGAGCCTCTTCGTGTTGCCGGGCCTTTTTATCAGTCACAGTCAGCACTTTGGGTAGTGAGCACTTAGTAGACAGCCACTGACTTTGCCATCGTTGGTGACTAAAGGGACGTTTTCAAACAGTCGAAGCCTTTGCCCTGCCTGGTGTTGGGCCAGAACCGCCCAGGAGAGCACTCGCCCAGGCTGGGTTCGCTTCAGCCCGACTCGACACAAAGAATCAGCCCTCTGGACCAGACCCGTCATTCCTGGTGACTTTGTCCTCCCAGGTCAGCCTGTTGGTGAAGCTCTGAGGACTGGCTGGCACGTCATGTGTGCCGTCTTCCCCTCTCCCTCTCCTCCAGTGTAATACTTCCCCACACGTCACCTTGTCAGTCCTGCGTGGGTTATGAAGGTCGTCCTTACTGAAACCACTGAGACGTGTGAGTCTGTGCCAGACGCGCTGACACCAGACAGGCCAGTCACGGAGATGATGCCTGCTGCTGTCCCTCGGGTCACCGGGGAGAGCCTGGCAGGCCTGACAGGCCTGGGCCCTGCCTCCAGAACTGCAGAAACCTGACCTCATCCGTTAGGACCACCCTCGCTCCCGTCCCCCAGCTCTCGGGAGAGGATGGGGGCACATGGCAGCATCACTGCCCCTAGAGGACACTGGGGCCAGAGAGATGGGCGTGGGTCAAAGTGGCCCAGCGGGCGACTTCGCTGGGCCTGGGGCCAGGCCCCGTTCTGTATGTCCACTTCATGGGACCACTGCCATGGCCAGAAAGGACTGTCAGGTGTTGGGTGTCACCACGTAGGCACTTTGGGGGAAGAACAGGGGGGAGGGGCCTGGGGCCTGTCCCAGAGTCGGGGGACACTGTGGTCATGACGGTGGCTCTCACGAGGTGTGGTGTCTGCTGCCATGGGCAGTCTGGCCCGTGCTGCCCACCACGCCTGGACGTGTCTTGGGACTTAGCTTCTGTACCGGCAACCCTTCTACTTGGAAGGAGCTCCCGCCGCCACCCCTCTTCCTGGCAGTGCCCCACGTCCTGTCCTGCCTGGTGCGTCCTCTGGGGACACGTCTGTGGAAGTTCTGACACACCCATCTGTTTGCGCCCCTCCAGACCAAGAGTGATGTTCATCCCAGCTCTGGCCCCAGGCCTGGCTCACACCAAAAGGGTGGACAGACGGATAGAGGGGTGGATGGATGGGGGAAAGCAGAGAGGGGCCATTAACTTGTCAACCAGCAGAGTATCGAATGCAAATGAGAATAGGTCCAAAATAAAACCCGAGCTGACGAAGAGGAAGGCCGAGAAGGAGTCTGTGATGCAGCCACACACGTATCGCACGTTTTCAGTTTTAATGAAAATTTCTGGCCTTTGAATTAAAAAAAAAAGTGAGTCTTCCTTGATTTTTGAAGTCACTAATGCAGCATGAATTAAGTCTCAGTGGGACAGGCGATTAGCTTGTCTAAGATCCCCAAGAGACAGCAGAGGCCGAAACAGCAGGGCTCACCTTCACGGTCACTACCAGAAGTCTGAGCTATGTCTGGTAGTGACAGCTAAGCAGTGGTGGGAGGGCGGGCTCTGTGCACACGCGGCCCGTGGGCCCGGCTGTCTCGGGAGGCAGCCTCTAGTCTCTGGTTTGATGCTCACACCTGGGACCACTCATCTCTGAACTTCCCAGGCTGATGGCATATTGAAGAGCGATTGTTTGGTTTTCTGTCTTGGGAGAAACAAAGCGTGCTGAAGGCAAATACCGACGTGGCACAACGCACATTTCTGTGTATATACGTGGATTAAATGCTGGCGTGCACAGGAGCCTGAAACCTGTTTTCTTCTTTCTTCCTCAGGATGTTGTTTGGGGATTGAACTCTTTGTTTACTGTAAGTATATTGGCCCAAATCCCGAGTTTTCTTTGATTCCCCCGGCTGCTGGTTTTAAACCTCACACTAAGGGGAACACAGGGTAAAGCAGCACCAGGTACATACTGGCCCGTTTTCTGTTGCACTTTGAGTCAGAGGAAGGGTGAGATGGAACTGAAGGGTCTTTGGAATGACACCTGGGGAGGTCACTGGGGAGGTTCAGGGTGGGAGCCAGCATTCCCACCCGGTCCTGCTGGAGCGGCTGCCTCCGCCCTCTGCAGGCAAGCCACAGCCACTGCATTAGCCTCCTTCCTGTGGGCGGCGGGTCCTGTGGCGGGAGCTGGCCCAGCGCCGCTCTGTCCGCTCACCAGCCGTCTTCACTGCCAGGTGGCCTGGTTTGGGTGAAGGACTGTGTGGTCACTGACCTTTAGGCTCTTCATGGACCCAGGACCTTATAGTCGTTCTCGTGTCGGTTATGAGCTGCTAACGAAGTTCACTGTCCCCAGAAAACAGCGGGAAGGGGTGTGGTGAGACGCTCAGAAGGCCCCGCTGAAAGCTGATGCTTGGATTTTGTAATATAGTATTTGTGCCTTTGAGTGTTTACTTTATGATCATAAAAGCTTTAAAAGAAATAAACTTCGGGACCTGTCTTTAGGGAAAATAAAAAGCTTTGCTACTGTTGGTAAAACCTGAGCCCCCTCTGGGAAAGGGAGCCCATCCGCAGCCCACAGGACAGCGGGCTGTTGGAGGGGCAGCGTCCTGCGCAGCTCAGTCCCCTGGGGTGGGGCTGCTGTGCTCCTGTCGCCTGAGGCCACAGTGTTCTTGTCTCTGCAAAATAAAAGCCTCAGAGCCTCAGAATTAGATGCCTAAGTCCCCACCTCCCTTTGCTGTGTCATCTGATGTCACCAGGTGACCTGTAATCCAAGCAGCAAAGCTACACTTCCTGATTTCAGGACCCCCCTCAATCCCCATGGGAAGGCAGTGCCCAAGGGTGCAAGGCCGTCGGACAGTTCTCTCCCAGCCTCAGTTTGGGGCTTTTTCATTTAAGTGAGTGAAGTGTCACTTGTGGGGCTGCAGACAGGCTTACAAAGGCAAAGTTGTTGAGAACAAAATAAAGGAGGGAAACTTAAGGAAAAGGAAATGGGACTTTAATTTAGAAATGCTTGTAACGAGAGTGGGTTTTTTTATTCCCCGGTTATCGAAACAGCATTAAAAATGAGTATGATGGCTGTTCCTCCATTTTCACCCAACTTTGTACGATTCCATAGAAGCAGTACCCCCACTTCTTCCAGTCAAGTTCAGTGCTCTCACGTAAAAGAACTTGAGTTCTTAATAGAATTTCTCAATGCTCCAGCTCATTTGTTACACGGTTTCCTGAATAGATTTCAGTAGCCTGCTTCATAAAATGAAGACCTATGAGAGCAGAAAGGGCGATTCCTTCCATTGTTTCACTGAGTTTCTCTCTTTAAGGATCTTCTGAATTTTGATGACCCACTGAATATTGAAGCTGCAGAACATCACTTGAGGGACAAGGTGAGCTAGTACCAGCAATAGTCTAGGTTGCTGTGTTTGGTAAAAGTGATTTTCATCGCTTGATTAGATAACTACAAAATTTGAAGCAATGTATAAATAATGTGTTATAAGAAATGGGAGTGGTTTCAGTAAAGTGTTTGACCCAAGGTGACACAGACATGTTTTTATTAGATGTGATTGATGTCCTAGAATTTAACACGAGTGATTTAGAACAGGCGACTGCTGCATCACCCCGGCAGTTTAGGGGTCCATAGGGGAGACGGAGCGGCACCGCCCCCTCCATGCCCGCCGGGCCCCAGCAGGCTCCGCGGCCCTTCCTCCCCCGCCCGTGAGCTCGTTCATGCACCTACACACCCGTTTGGCTTGGGCCCAGCATGCTGGGATCGTAGTCATTACTTTAATCTTTAATTCCTTATTTTAAACCGATTTCTCTCCAAGTCGCTGCATAAACTATCGCTCATTCGTTTCAGGAACTGGTCCATATTCCATAAAGTGGTTCTGCGGTGCTTTTTCAGCCATTCTCGTGTTGGTAGGCACTCAGGTTTTTCCCATAGATTTTTTCCCCCAACTACAAACAATAATGCAGTAGGCATCCTTTGTACACACATCCTTACAAAGCCCACCAACAGGCCTGGGTCTGGGCTGGAGCCTGGGCGGGCTCTGTGAGGCGGGGGCGGGGCTCTTAGCGGTTGTTAGCCTCGCCTGGGGCCATGCTGGGTCGTGGACCGCAGAGGGCACGGACTTGGTTCGTCCTAGACCTCACATTTCGTTTCCTAATGGGGATGCCCTGCGAGTTCTCACCCACCCCCAGCAGTCAGCACCTGACTATTGGATTTGCTGACACTGCTCGGAGCAGGTAATGGCCTAAAAGTCACCAGGTTGGCCCTAACTATGGTTAAGAACATCGCTTCTGTTTATGTAAAACCTGTGTGCCAGAGTGGGGGGCGTTTTAAACTGCTGTGTGGCGGTCCCCACAACCCTGAACCAGGAGCAGCAGCCCTGCCTTAGTGGGCCCGAGGGTGGGCAGACGTGCCCCTCAGGGTGGAGAGCCACGCCGCCCAGCCTGTGCCCTGCATGGACCCACCGACCGTTTGACGGGCACCGCAGGGAACAGTGAGGCGTGCACTGGGACTGGATGGTCAGTGGACGCTCCTGGTCGGGCACAGGAGGCCAGCGTCCTGCTGAGCGGGCCGGGTGCCCCTGTGTGAGCCGGCTCTGGTCACGGTCACGCCCTCAACCTGCCCTCACGGCTCCCGCGTCAGCTCAGCTCTCAGCCTCTGGCCACCCTGGATGGCTGTGGGGCCTCGCCAAGCCTTGGCCTGGCCACTGTGCTGGCGAGCCCGAGCCTGCGTGCCCCCGGGCCCGCCTCTTCTGGGACCACTCGTTCTGTGACTCCGCTTGTGGTTGCTGACACTCAGTGTTGTGGTGGTTGGCAGCCCTCGTGGACTAAGCCGTGTCAAGGACCGAACGTGATCATGGCAGGGAGCGCTCTTACAGAGCTGAGGAGGGAGATGCTATAGATTGTCCGAAACGGCGACCGACTTACAGCTCATAAACTTAGCCGGTGAGAGGGACCTAAGGCCCTCTGAACAGGGATGCCTCCGCACGAATTCTGAACCGTGCCTCGCCCCACCCGTGTGCTGATCACGGTTACGGAACTTTCCACTTATTTTGTATTCATTATTCATCCCGAGTTTGACTGGTGGCCTGAGTGCCAGGTGAGGTGCGCAGCGCTCAGGAGAGAGCAGTGGACAGACAGTCCCTTGTCCCTGTGGAGCGTACCCTCTGGTGGGAGGAGGCAAAGCCTGGAAGAGCAGATACCGGGAGGCGGGGCCTGGGAGCCAGGGAGGCCTGGGGGGGGGGCGGGTGCTGTTTATGTGGGCTGCTGGGGAAGGCCTGTCTGATAAGATGTGCCGAGATCTGGTGTGAACCCAGTGGATCTCAGGTGACAGTATCCCAGAGTGACAACAGCCAGTGCAAAGGCCCTGAGGCGGGAATTTGCTCCAGGTGTTCAGGGAAGGGCTCCGAGGCCATGGGATTGGAGCAGGGAGCAGGAGGACAGGGCTGTGTGACACTAGCAGCGACACCGAGTGGCCCTCCCTGGTGCCAGGCTCCATCCCACGTACTCCCCAGAGTGCACATGTTCTGACAACATGAGGGAGGGTCTCCTGGTTTCCTGATTTGCTGCTGAGGAAGATGAGAGACTAGCCAAGAAGGGGCAGAGCTGAAGAGTTGAACCCAGGCGGTCTGGCTCCAGAGTCCGTGGTCTTCACGTGGGGCTGCTCTGTGCCCTCTGGCAGAGCGGAGGGGAGGCAGGAGGCCTGGGGAGGCTCCCTGGAGGCCAGGCCTCCGGGCTTTATCCTGGGTGAGGTGAGGAGAGCAGAGGGGATTAAGGCTGAGCAGAGGCACCTTTGGTCCTGAGGGCAGGACGGGTGGGGTGCCTGTGGGGGCTTCACGACCTGTGAGCTCTGGCTGTGGCCCTTTAGGAGCTGATGGCGCTGGGCCCTGTGAACGGGACCGCGTGAGAGTTTCCGCTAGAGGCGCGCCGTGCTTCTGCGCAGCCCATCTTGGTGACTGGCCGAGCGCCGTGCGAGCCTCTGAGTGCAGTCCTGTGGACAGGTGTGGCTGTGGGGACCGTGACCACACACACTAGGGGGCCTCACCCCCCCATCTGCAAAACCAAGGGCCTTGGGATCCCTTGTGCTCCGAGCTTCTGTGTTTGTCCCCACCCCAGCCCTCCTGGCACCCTGTGCCTCTCACAGTGGGCACCCGGCCTCGTGCCAGCTCCACGGGCCTCTGATACTCCCACCGAGCACCGCGGATCCCTCTTGTCCCTGGGGTGTCGCTCCCTCCTCACTGACTCGCTGCCCCTCTTCTCCCCCAACCCCCGCCCCCGCAGGAGGACTTCCGGAACAAAGTGGAAGACTACATCAAGCATTATGCCAGATGATAGAGGGGAGACTGCAGGGCGCGGACCGTGCGTCGGAAGGGTGTCCAGCCCCCCCAGAGGGCGCCTCCACCCCGGCCCTCGGCCCCCTCAGCCCGCTGGGCCGTCGGAGGAGGAGCCGCCTCTTCACGACCGCCCATTGTAGTCGGGATTCCACATAAACAGCAAGAAAATGTGTCTGGGCTCTAAAGAGTTGTCTGCTTCCCTTAACGCGCTTACTTTGTTGAAACTGTGCTGTACAGGCTGTTGAGATCCGTGAGAAGTTATAATGAACTCAGAATTGGAGCTAGAGTTTGCTTCTGCCCCTTGTCCCCCCAAATCACTTCCCTGCACTCGTGATGCAATGACGTGCTCCGTGCAGCTCGCCGATTGGCGAGAAGAAGCCCGCGACGAACCGTGATTGGACGCAGACTCCCAGCTCCGCCCACGGTTGGTGGTCCTGCCTCGGTGTCGTGAAGCTTCCGGAATGCAGTCGTTCACTGTAGATCTCTTACTGAAACGCATATTTTATTTAATGTAAGTATATTTTGGAACAGATTTGTAATTTGTACAATTTAATGCTTTAATTATTTTTTTCCTATTCTCATTTAGTTTGTATCTTCATTGTATAGAGCAGACAGAAAGATACTGGGTCAAGCAACTATTGAAGAGAAATACAAAGAAAATATGAAAGACACATTATTCTTTCTGTCCAAATGCAGCAAGAACTGGGCTTTTAAACATCAGCTCTTGCTTTCAGGGCCAGACTGGACAAGGAAGTTTTAGAACCCTTTGAAGCTAGAGCTGAATGATTTGAGACAACCAAAGGCAGGGCTCCCTTTCCCGCATGATGCCTGGGGAGCTGGCTGGAGCCAGACCGGCGGGTGCTGGGTGTTGTGCAGGCATCATGAGAGCCGCTGGGCCACGACTTAGCTACTTACCAGAGAGCCAGAGCCTCGTGTCCTGAGAGGCAGGAGCAGTTCCTCCGGAAGCAGCCAGACAGCGCCTGATGCTGCTGCCTGGGCCTGTGGCCTTGAGCTGGCCATGGAGGGCAGGGGCCTGCAGCAGTGCCGAACATGCCAGGTCAGGGGACCGCCCTGCAGAGCAGGGGCCGAGGAGGGGGTGCACTTGCACAGCATTTAGACAGCAGAGCCGGGAACGAGAGGCACAGTGAATGTCCGACGGCCCCACCGTTGCCTGCCCAGCTCTGCACTTCCACTGCCTCCTCAGGCCTCATGAGTCCCAGCTGCCCTCTCCCTGGGCTGCTGTGCTTTTCTTAGTCTCTCGTGTAATCTCCCATTGTGAGATCAGCCCGTCCTAGAGGTCTGCAAAAGAGGACGTAGGCCGTGCTTCCCATCTGTGATCAGGAACTCTGCCCACTGGGCCTGAGGGTGGCCCCTGGCTGATGGGCGCACCTCTGGTACTCAGAGCGGGAAGGGTGAGGCTGCATAAAGGGCCTGGCGGCCTCTGAATGGAGCACGGCCCACCAGGCACAGCAGTACTGCCTCCTGAGGCCTGGCAGAGGCCCTGCCGTTACTGTCCTAATTGGAGCTCTAACCTGTGTCACTGTCCTCTCACGGGAACTCCCCACCTGGGCTCTGGTGCAGACCCGCCCGCATGCCTGAGTTTTGCCCTGCGTCACAGTTCCCTGCCTGATGCCATCACACATCTCACAGCCGGATGAAGGCTACACAGCTAGTGGTCCAGGTGGAGGGGGAGGAAATGGTGCCAACTCCTGCAGTTAAATGAAACGTGCGTCCAGTGTGGGTAAAGGCCTGCCCTCGACCAGACTGAAGGGGTGATACTATTAATTCTGACCCAAAGTATGTGCACAGCAGAAAGATACCTTGCTTTATCAGGGATCAAGTCAGTCTTCAGAAATGACCTTCCCGCAGAGCTGGAGCACCCCTTTCTGTCCAGTGGAAACCCCACCTTAAGGAGCACACCCAGCTCGGCCCGTTACTGTGGGCATCTGGTGGTGGCTGTGGGGCCCTGACTTCCAAGCCCTGTGACATCTTGGGGTCTATTCCCCACTCTCAGGCCAAAGTCACATTTGTGGCTCCGGTCCGTGTGCCCCACCAGCCCGTGATAGGTGATTTCCGATCTGCCAGGGGTGGGGGTGCGGAGCCTCTGGCCGCTGGGGACACAGCTCCTGCACAGCTCTGACGTTACCTGGGGCCCCGGGACTCCAGTACTTGGAATTTGACATGCCAGCTGCGTGGGTTTCAAGCACACTGAGGAGGAAAGCTCCAGGGTAGCTTCTCAGAAGGAAAGGGCTCGTCGCCCCTCTCACCTTCCCCCACACATCCCACCTGCACGTTACCTCCTTTGCCATCCTGGGGAGCCAGGGCGGCCAGCGCTGGTGCTGAGCCCGGTGTGCGGCTGCTGCCCGTCTGCCTGCAGCCCTGGCCCTCCCTGTCATCACTGTGTGGGGTGTTGCACAGTGCAGCAGGCCCCAGGGAGCAGAGGTGTGGATTGTGGTTAACCTCCCGAGACACCCCGCTCGCTCGCCTGCCCTCATCTCCAAGCACTGGGAGCCTTGGAGGGCTGTGTATGTGCTTTTCACCAGCTGCAGCGCAGGCCAGGTCGCTGCTGCGGCGTGAAGCTCCTATAGAAACTGCAGAGGGCTGGCCCCGGCCATTTTTAGCGGCTAAAACACTGCAGTACCGTCTAAAAGCAATGGGTACCTTGGTATTTGCCCGCTTAAATGTTTCTATTCTCCTCCACCCTTAGTTACATTCCTGGGATTTACACACTTACCTGGAAAGATTTCATGGGGTGCAGGAAGCGACATTGTCCTTCCCCATGGCGTGGCCACAGGCAGGCCAGTCTCAGCAGAGTCCCACGCCCTCTCAGACCACCTGACGGCAGAGCCAGCATGCCTTTCTTACGGCTGCAGAAACATGGCACAGCCCTCGTGCTGGGCTTGAGCTCAGCAAAACCCAGGAGGGCACACCCCAGGCAGTGGTGCCCCCAGATGTGTTAAAGGTCTTCAAGGACAACACCCACCAGTTCCCAAGGTTACTCTGTCCCCCACCCACCCTTTAAAGAACTGCGAAAAAAATCATAAATCCCTGTTAATACCAGACTTGTTGCTTTTTTGATGATCAAAAATTTTTTTCATATAAAAATTCCAACAAGATGTCAGCCCCCACTTGCAGTCCATAACCAGACACTTGTTTCCCTGCCAGTGTAGCTGGTTCCAGGATGGTTTTACTTTTCGTCCACTTAAAAATGTTTAGTTTCGGGAAGTCAGGTTTGTTCTAGGTTCATCAATCTTCACAAAGTGTGCCTAGTAAAATGCTAATATACAGTCTTAGTAAAAAATGTTTGCTTTTCCTTTGCCAAAGGAGGACGGGAAATGGGACAGTGCACCTCTCCCTCCCACAGCCCCGCCTCAAAAAGCTCCAGCAGCGTGGAGGGCTAATTCACAGGAACCCATGGCGCCCGCTGAAGTTCTTGCCCTGGGTTTCCATGGGTTAGTGAAATTGATTTATGATTGAAAGAATTGTGGTTTGAGAAAAGTTCTTCATAAGGCCTGTGACGGTGGCATCTGGGGACCTTGCATTCGTTGTTAAGATGTCTAGTCACGTCGAGCTGTGTAAAGAACTGAACTGGAATCTAAAATGTAATCCAGCTCAGGGCACATTCGTTTTTATTGACACAGTCACTGAGCCAGAGCTCATCCAGCAGAGTCACTTGTTTCCAGCTTATGTCAGGGCTGTTTGGAGCAAACCAAGCACACGCCCCGAGTCCCCGGTGCTGCAGAGAGACGGGACAGGCCCGTGCCCGGCGGGCTGGGATAGATAACAGGGGCCCTGACCAGGAGCGGCAGCTGTAGGCAGCCTGGCACCTCACTGAGTCTCCCCATTGAGCTTCTGGTCCACAGCTCCCATCCCAGAATGTTCTTTACCTGCTCTGCTTACCTGTGTCAGGCCTGGTGGCCTCCTCGCTGGCCCGGCAGGACTCGTGTCTCGTATTTTTTGGTGTCAGACTCCTGACCTTCCTCACCACTCAGGCCCTCGTGCGATGTGTAGTGCTGGATGCCGGGAGATTCTCTCTCAAACCAGTCAATCTTACCAAACCTCTCTTTTTAGTTTATTCCGATCCTAGTAGCCCTGTTTACCTGTGTTCGTCCTTCCCCTGACCAGGGTGAGGCTGAGGAGTCATAAGCCAGGTGCATGCTGGGGACAGAGCCTTGTCCCCTATTCCTAAGAGGTTTCAGTCTCAAGTTAGAGTATAAAACCTGATGGGGCAGGAGACAGGTGGAGCCCACTGGGTGCTGTGTGCCTGGCCAGACCAGTAACTGGCTGGTGACAAGCCATCTATGCAGTGAGAGCCGCAGGTGGAGGAAGACCCGGCCATACCGGGTGAGACCAGAGCAAACTGGTGGGCTGGCCGCCTCAGGTCCTCCCACCTTGCTGTCAGAGGGCTTCCCAAAGCACCGTTCACATGCCACGTCCTCCCGTTGCCTCCAGGATAAGCACCCCTGTGTTGGCCTACAGAGCCGCTGTGGCTGGGCCCCTGGCGTCCCTGGCCCCAAAGCAGTGCTTCCATGCCTGGCGCTGGCGCTAAGGTCCACTCACCAAGACACCCGACTTCCCTCTTGGGGTTCCTTTCACTATTCAGTTCACATCATGCTGCCTGCCTCACAGGCAGGACACTTGCTGAGGTGTCCTCGTCTTTCCCAGGCTTCCGGAAGCACCGAGGGTGTGTGTACTGGCTTCTGATGGGTTCCTGCCGTACCCTAGCCATCCTACAACAACTAGGTTATTACAGGAGGATCATTTAGTGTTGAGTAAATGTAGCAGGAGCTGAAGAGCACAAGTGTCCTCACAACAGTCATCTCCGCAGCAGCTGGGCACACTGGCCAGCCCCATGCAATAGCTGAAGATGCCTGCCACCAGCTGACAGGCCAAGTCCAAGCAGTTTGCTCTGCCCTAGTGAATAAAGGGGCTTGTGGGAAAAACTGAAGAAAAATAAAGAATGCCCAGCCGACTTGGCGGATGAGCAAGGCTAATGAAATAGCAACAGGATGGAACTGTAACCATCATAAGTCCACAGCAGGATTCTGTATTTCAGGAAAATGCCAAAGATGAAGGCAAAATACTTACAAAAGCTGGAAGAAGTCATACCAGCAGACTAGCACCAAAAAAAATTTCGAACACAGTCCTCAGGCAGGAGGAATGACCCCAAATGGAAATGTGGACCCACCAGCACTGAGGGGTCCACCACTGTGGACGTCAAGTAGCCAGTAGCATTCATGCCTCTACTCACTCGATCCCAGAAGCACCTACCCTGCAGTTGTGACAACCAAAATTGTTTCAACATTGCCAGATGTCCCCTGGAGGAGAAACACTCCCAGTTGAGAATCACTGTATTGGATATTTCTTCTGTGTTTTTCCTCTATTTTTGAGCTTTGAGAATTCCTGTGCTCAGGAATTTCACTCTAATTCTTCAGCTATGCCTATTTCGTTCAGCCCCTCTTCTGATTTTTAATAGGCTTTGTTTTTTTAGAGTGGTTTTAGATTCATAGCAAAATTGGGCTGAAAGTGGGAGTTCCCATACCGCCTGCCCCCTATGCGCACAACTCCCTGACTATGGACGTCCCACAAATGTAACATGAACTTCCATTGATACATCACCCCCCGAAGCCCACAGTTTACATTGGGGTTCACTCTGTCACACATTATATGGGTTTTCATTCGAATTCAGTAACTCACAAATGTATAATGACATATACCCACCATTGTATACAAAATGGTTGCATTGCCCTAAAACTCCTCTGCCTGTCAATCCCTCCTTCTTTGCTCAACCTTTTTAAGACTTAACTGCATTCTCCACTTTCGTGTCCCATATTCCTTAACTTGCACCTGCCCCCCCCACTGCACTCAGAAATCTCTTGCTAAACTCACCAGTGCCTCCTAATTGTTACCATACAGTAGACACTTCAGATGTCCTCAGTACCACTTTACACCATCATCTATTTTGATATTCGTTAATTCTTTATTTTTAATTGGGGAAGGGGGACCAGCCAAGTTGTTGTTCTTCAATCTTAGTTGTGGAGGGCGCCAGTCACCATCTGGCTGCCTATCCACAGCTCATGGCCTCTAAGCTCAAGGTGCTGTGTTCAATCTTAGTTGTGGGTGGGCATAGCCACCATCCCATGCGGGAGTCGAACCAGCAGCCTTGTTGTTAAGAGCACACACCCTATCCACTGAGCCACCCAGGCAGCAGCTCAGCTCAAGGTGCTGAGTTCAGTCTTAGTTACGGGTGGGGGTAGCCACCATCGAACAGGCAGTCTTGTTACCCCAGCTGAGCCATCCTGCCACCTGTTGGCAGCTCAGCAGCAGCTCAGCTCAGGCACAGTGTCACTGGCCCATGTGGGAATCGAACCAGCGGCCCTGTTGCTCAGAGCTCGCACTCTTAAGCCAGCTCTTAACCAACTGCGCCACTCAGCAGGCCCTGTTGATATTGGTTAATTCTTTTTCCTCTTTTGACTGAACTTGGGCTCCTGTTACTTATATTTTGGTGTGTACTTTACTGTTGGGTGCATTTGGCAAGAAATGAGCTGTTTGCAAGCAAGAATGAAGGGAAATAATCTAGAAATGTGGAGACTTGCAGCGCTGGGAAAGACTTCTGGACCCCAACCGAGATAAGATTGAGCCAGTCTATGAAAAGCCAATTAAAATTCAACTTCTTGGCAAAGCATTCCTGAATTCAAATTCTGGCTCCATCACCACCCTTGTGAGCTTGGGCAAGATGCTTTTCTGTGCCAATTTCCTCGTATATAAGGTGGGGGTAGCAGTATCTCCTTGATAAGGGTGTTACTAAGATTAGTTTGAATACATGAGAGAGTATAGAACAGTGCCCGGTACATCCCAGGCTCAGTGAAACTTAGAGATTGTAATTGCACAAGGGGTGGCCCGTCAATGGCTTCAGTAGAATTTAAGAATCTAAATCTTTGTCCTCTCGCCACTTTCACAACTGACTTGTTATTGTTCAGGGGATCCACGAATGTTAGCCATTTCCACTTGACTGTCTCAGACAACCTCCAAACAGCCTATCACCTTCCCTCCCGTGTGCCTTCCTGTCCAGATGCCCAGCTAACATCAGTCACGTGTTAATCATCGCTTCCTCGCGCTCCCTCCTGCCCCATATTCGGAGCCCCCCACTCCTGTTTTACCTTCTAACCCTATCTCTTTTTTTCATTATTTTTTATTGTGAAATACACATTTTTTAGAATTAGTTTTAGCGGTACAACACAACAATAGTTATACTTTTTACCCCTTGAGGTGACAACCCCCCTCCCCCAATCCACCACCCCACTTCTCCCCTCCAATATCATATCTATTACAATTCCCTTGACTCCACTCCCACACTATACTCCACGTCCCATGACCATATATATATATATATATATATATATATATATATATATTCACTTATAGTTGACATACAATATTATACAACATCAGCTTCAGGTGTACAGTGCAGTGATCAAGCCTCTACCTCATCCATGATGCGGTCTCCCTAACAAGACGTGACCACCTCACACCCTACAAAATATTTACAACGTTATTAATTATATTCCCCGAACTGTCTTTCATGTCCCTGTTCTAACCCTGTCTTGAATCCATTTTCCCTGCGTGTCCACGCCCGCTGCCCAGTGTCCCTCACCTCTCGCTTTACCCAGCTGGACTCCCAACCTCTACTCCAGACCCTTCGAATCCATCCTCTAAATCAGGGGTGTCAAACTGGTGGCCCACGGGCCACATGCAGCCCACGATGCTCTGAAATAAAATGAAAATAGAAAAAATTGTTATGAAGAAAACAGCGCTTAGGGGAGGTCGAGGCAACACTGTACACACAATTCCCTCAACCCTTTAACTACTGAAGACGAGTATACACGTGGCCCGGTGCCTTTCCTAGGGGCCTGTGGGCGTGTATAAACGCGTTGACTCAGTTCCGGCGACGTTTGGAAGCGATCTGTCTGCCACTTTCAGTGTCACGTAATGTAAACAGATCCCAATAGCGAAAAGGTTAAAAAGAGCACTCGGGTAAAAAAGAATAGTTTTATAAATACATTAAATGAAATAAATGTTTAAATAAAAGCAACTATATAGTGTTTTAATTATCCTATCTATATTCCTGAATCCTCACTTCAGAATGTAAATTTAACAAAATTTGTAAATGTGATGTGGCCCGCGTGAATCTTGCCTGTTGCACCAAATGGCCCGTGTTTTCACTGAGTTTGACACCCCTGCTCTAAATGATTCCTGATTCCACTCAAAGTCACCTATGGAGAGGACCGAGTCACGCACGCCCAGGCCCACGCCGGACCCTCCAGCTGGGGTTTGGGTGAGTGTCTCAGGAGCCCTCCGGACTGCAGGACGCAGAGGTGGGCCCGCCGGCATGGGGGGACGCTGGCCGTGCGCGCTCCGGGGCGCAGGGCCCTGCGGGGCGACGCATGCGAACCCCGCGTGCCGCCTCCACCACCCGCGCTGTCGGGTGCCGCCTTCTCTCTGCCCGAGACCGGCGTGGGGCCCTTGTTGAGCAGCGGGGCAGACACCCGCACCTCGCAACCCTGGAGACTACGCTTCCAGGGCGATTTCCGCCCGCGCTCCGCCACCATGGCCACGCCCTCTGTGACGCGCTCGGCGCTCCGCCCCCCAGCGCGGGAGGCCCCGCCTCCCTGAGCGCTCTAGGCCGCTGAAGCGCAGGGGTTGGCCCGCAGGGCACAGCCCAGCCAATCCGAGCGCGATCCGGGCCTCGCGGCCCCGCCTCCCGGGCAGGACCCGCTGGGCCAGTTGGGACCGCGCCTGGGGCGTGTGGGCGGAGCTGTGCCGCGGCGGGCCAGGGATGGAGGCGGCTGCGGTGCTCAGCCCGAGCGCGCAGAGGCGCGTGTCGAATCCGCCCTGCGGCCGCGAAGAGAAGAACTCGCCGGAGAGGTGTGCGCCCTGAGGAGAAGGCGAGGGAAGCCCTCCAGGCACCGCGCGACGAGGGGTCGGGGCGCCCCTCCTGGGGACACAGGGAGGGGGCGGCCGGCCTGTGGCCACTCGCGGGCATGAGGGTCCTGCGCGGGGAAGCCGCGGTGGCCGGCTGACCCTGGTGGAGAGGCCTAGATCTGGGACACGAGCTGGGAGGACGAGCGGATGCGACGCGTGGCATGGCCAGGGCTGCCGGAGAGGTGGCCTTTGGGCTGAAACCTGAGTGACAGCCAGGAGTCAGCAGCACGTGTTCTGGGCGGAGCACTGCACGCCGGGAATAGGGAACAGCAGCTGCAAAGGCCCCGAGGGCAGAAGGGCGCCTGCTGCGATCCAGGGCCTCCAGGAGTGCAGAGCGCGCGCGGCTGGAGAGGAGGGGCTTGTCGGGCAGCTGTCAGCGGAGTGACCCGGCAGAGCTACAGAGCCCAGGAAGGGCTTCGCGGGGCATGCTAAGGCTGATGGGGATCTTGGAGGTTTGAACTTAGTTATAAGATGTGACTTAGTTATATTTTAAAGGAATTCTGGCTGCCCGGTAGAGAGTAGGGAGGGGGCATGGGGCAGAGGAGGAGGCAGGGAGCCCGGGTGGGAATCTATCATCTAGGAGGGCGGGGTGCTGGTGGGAGAAGTGGATGTACTGACACGGCTCCGCAGGACCTGCCGGCGCATTGGTGTAGGGAAGGGAGGGGTTAAGGAAGATGCCCCCCAGGCGCTGGCCTGAGCTCCTGGGAAAGGGGGGTGAAGACGAAGCACTTCAGTCCACACCTTCTTCAGCCTGCTGGAGCCACTTCCCCTGGGGGTTGTGGGGTGAGGGGTTTTCTTGTTTGTGGGTCTTCTCCCTCTGATTCAGAAATACGTTAAATACTCCTTTGGTGGCGGGGGAGGGTAATTCTCTTTACCTGCATCGGAAGAGTGTGTGTGTGCCTTTAAAGTCTAGGTCCACATCTAAATCTGACCAGCTCTGTCAGGAGGCATTCCACTCGAAAGGGAGCTGGGAGAATGTCCCCAGAGACCGAGCGGAGAGGCGTTTCGCAATGCCTTTTTACCTTTTGGTTATGAAACTACAGTTCAGCTTTTCCATCCAATATTGATAGCACTTTAAGAAAGTGGCAGATAATGGAACAGAGTGATCTACAAAGTGTTCATCTGAAATTCACGCCATAAATGAGCTCAGCCAAAAGTTGGAAAGCTGTGGACACTCAGCAGACACTAATGTTGTGTGGACACTTAGAGGAACCGAGAGCCTAGTTGGGGCCCCTTCAGATTTAAGTCACACCATGACTTGGGCATTCCTAACACCGGAGTGGCCAAGGATGTCTGGTCAAACTTCCCAAAGCCCCGAAGCCCTGTACCTATCAGGTGACTTCAAACAGCTTATATACAAAATGCTGCATTAAAACACTTCATGATTTAAAAGATAGACAAAAACAAACAAACAGTTTTAACAGCCATGGTTGGTAATTGCGTTTGAATTTTCATGTAGATAGGTTTAAACAGTATTGTTGATTTAAAAATCAGGTAAAATGATTAATAGTATCAGCAGGATTACTATCTATGAGTACAGTTATAAAAGTTTCTGAAGGTTTTGATATTGGTAAAAAGATAAACAGATAAATTTTACTTATGAGGGGTCTTCCAGGGGACTTGTATGTTCTGTGACATCTACTTTGTCATCTTATAAATGAAGCCCCTGCTGTGTGCCAGCCTTTGTTCTGTGACAGCAGTGAGGAAAGCCAGCAGAGCCAGGGAGCCCATGGGGCTTAGAGGGGGGTGAAGCCTGCTGGGAAAGGGGGTGGGTGGCTGCAATTTATTTTATTATTTTTTAAGATTTTTATTGGGGAATTGGGGGAGGGGAACAGTGTTGGGGAATTGGGGAAGGGGAACAGACAAGTTGTTCTTCAGTCTTCGTTGTGGAGGGCGCCAGTCGCCATTTGGCTACCTGTTGGCAGCTCGTGGCCTCTAAGCTCAAGGTGCTGTGTTCAATCTTAGTTGTGGGTGGGCGTAGCCACCATCCCATGCAGGAGTCGAACTGGCAGCCTTGTTGTTAAGAGCGCACGCTCTATCCACTGAGCCATTTGGCTGGCAGCTCAGCTCAAGGTGCCGAGTTCAGTCTTAGTTGTAGGTGGGTGTAGCCCACTATTGAACAGGCAATCTTATTATACCAGCTAAGCCATCCTGCCACCTGTTGGCAGCTCAGCGACAGCTCAGTGTCACTGGCCCATGTGGGAATCGAACCAGTGGCCCTGTTGCTCAGAGCTTGCGCTCTTAAGCCAACTCTTTTTTTTTTTTTTAAGATTTTTATTGGGGAATTGGGGGATGGGAACAGTGCTGGGGAATTGGGGGAAGGGGAACAGACAAGTTG